ATCATACAAGATATCGCTTAAGCATCAAACTTTTCATTTGTGTGTAATGTCTGAATATGCATTTACGACCGAGCGAAGCGAGCGAGAAAAATTTTAAAGATCTGTGAGGTCGCAGTGCGAATTATTACATCTTATAAAGAGGAAAAAGCCAATCGTGATGGAATTTTTAGCACATTCTTATAACGGAAGACTGAAAAGACCTTTGATAAGTAACATAATTATATAATCTTTAAATGCGAGAGAGTGCAGCGAGCGAAATTTTGGGGAAAATGCTCTTAGTCGCCTTAAATAAAGGGCACGTTTAATGATTACATGAAAAGGGGACAATTATCGAAAGGGATAAGTCAGACACTAATTAGAAAAGAAAAGGAGCACGTGTCAAAGTACAAAGGATAATTATAAGAGGTGAAAATGAGGCATTTTTTCACCTGAAAAGAGGCACTCACCAGTGATGAAAACGAGGCGTTTACGAAAATGGGAAATAGACTTTTGTTGACGGAAAAGGGGCACCAGTCAGATTTTAATAGGGGCATTTGTAAGAGATGAAAAGGGGATAGGTCCCTTATTAGAAAGGAAAAGGGGCACGTATCATTAATAAAAGGGGAATTATCAGAGTTGAAAAGGGGCACTGACCAGATATGAAAAGGGGCACTTATGAAAATGTAAAGGGGCACTTATAATAAAGTAAAATGTGCATTTGTTGAATAAAAAGGGGGCACCGTTCAGATTTTTAAAAGGGGCAGTTATGAGAAGGGGGAGGAGCTCTTTATTTTTAATGGGGGCACTTATCATAATGAAAAGGGGCACTTATTAGAAAGGGAAAGGGGTAGTTATGAGAAGGGAAAGGAGCTATCTCTTTTTAATGAGGGCACTTATCATAAGGAAAAGGGGCACTTATTTGAAAATAAGAGGGGCACGTGTTAAAATGAAAGGTGTGCTTATCAGAATTTAAAAAAATGGGTAGTTATTAAAAGTTATTAATTTATGTATATGATTATGTTTCATTTTGAAAATGCAGAAATAAAAAAAACAAACAAACAAAAGGAGAAGGGGCACTTCTTACAAAGGTAAAAAGGAGAAGTTGTCAAAGTAAAAGGAGCACCTCTCAGTTTTGAATAGGGAAATTATCAGAGGTGAAGGGGGCACTTATTAAAAGTGAAAAGGGGCACTTCTCGTACCTGAAAAGAGGCACTTCTCGTACCTGAAAAGAGGCACTTACTAGAGATTAAAAAGGGCACTTATTCAAGATAATTTCAAGATTTATGAGAATGGAAAATGGACACTTATTGCAAAGGAAAATGGGAACATGTCGAAGGAAAAGGGGCACGTGTCAAAAATAGAAAGGGCACTCGTTAGAGGTGAAAAGGGGGAAGGGGCACTTGTCAAAGTAAAATGGGCACCTTTCCTATGTAAAAGGGGCACTTCTTACAAAATAAAAGGGGCACTTTTCCTATGTAAAAAGGGGCACTTTTGGGATATCTGAAAAAGTGGGGGGGGGGGCACTGTGCCCCCTGCCCCCCCCCCCCTCGGGAGGGCCGCCTCTGCCTGGACATCTACCCCGGAGAAACCCCCCCCCCCCCCCCCCCCCCCCCCGGACGCGAATTTGCGATTCCCAAACCATTCAGCTAGGGGAGACTTTATGAGCAACGTGATTGGTCGAGAGAAGAAATAAATATTACATCAGTTACTGCACGCTCGGGCTCGCCCACAGCTGACACAGACACACAAACCCTCACAATGTTAGTCTGCAAGCACAGACTCTAATTTGACACTTTACGAAAGATAATCATGTCTGAGGGAAGTCTATCTACATGAAATGGCCTACTGTAGTCTCACGATTCAGACTCTGTAAATGTGCCTGCAAACTACTCACATGCCTTAGAATTCTGCTACTGAAGGTGTGTATCAGTAACGAGCAGAGATGGTATTCATACTCAATAGGGAGAGTATCCTGCAATGAAAGGAATTATACTCAGATCATTAATACAATTACATTTGCCAGTTTGTTAATGCACTTTTAAGAAGAATTAGCCACCAAGAATATGATATCCTGTAGTCTATCCTGTTTGAACAATACTCATGGCTAGATCTACATGTATAGTCTAGATGAATTAATTTAATTTTGGAAACTTTCTCTAGTTTTACCATTTTAATCTGTTTGAGGATTTCTACCCTGGAAATTTTGTAATGCCTAATCCTTTCATCAAACTCTGATTATTAGAACTGCTGGGCCTCTCTGCAACCCCTTTTTTCCCTCAGACTCAAGCTCTCATTTATACATAGACATCTAGACTAGTAAAGTTAGACTCCCCCCCCCCTCCCCCAATAAATAATGTTCCATTTTTTATTTTTTATCATAGGTCTATAGATCTAGGGTCTAGATCTAAAAAAAAAAAAAAAAAATCATCCAATCGATATCTATATTTCATTAGAACATACTTGTATCTTACTTAAAAGATCTATCATCTAAATCTACATGTAACTTGTGTTATTGTCTATGTTCAAACAATGCATGGCTAGGCTCAACAAAACACTCAGGACTGCACATACGCTATGTTGTTAGGTACAATGCTGCACTTCACACGCGAGCTAGCTACACAGGCACATACAGGCCCACTGTTATCCATTTATATCCAGACACATTCGTACCGCCATGATGAGATGGCTCGCGTCGATGTGGGCGTGTCTTTATAACTTCTTTTTAACCAATCACGTTGCTCAAAATGTTTCCCACAGCTGAATGGTTTGGGAATCGCAAATTCGCCCCCCGGACATCTACCCCAAGTCAAGTACCCCCAGACATCTACCCCCCGTCAAATACCCCCGGACATCTACCCCCAGCCAACTACCCCCCTGCACATTTACCCCCCCCCCAATCTAACTATCCCCTTTCAACTATCCCCAGCCAATTACCCCCACCCTGAAAACTACCCCCGGACATCTACCCCCATCCAACTACCCCCGGGCAACTACTCCCAACTACCTTAATTTGCTTGGGGTAGATGTCAGGGGGGGGGGGGGGGGTAGTTGGAGGGGGAGTTAGTTGTCCGGGGGGGGGGGTAGTTGGATGGGGTTAGATGTCCGGGGGTAGATGTCTGGCGGTAGATTCCGGGGAGGGGGTAGTTGACTGGGGGGTAGATGTCCGGGGGTAGTTAGCTAGGTGGTAGTTAGCTATACCCATGCTTTATTACAGGGTTTTAGTTTTGAACAAATTCGACAAAATATCACTTCAAATTTATTACATTTGTGGGTAAAGTCATTATTACATTTGTGGGTGATTAAAAATTATTACATTTGTGGGTAAAGTGGTTATTACATCTGTGGGCGTTATTACACTTGTGGGTGTAACAGGGGTAAGGTCAGCTTTTTTGGGTCACCCATTACCACATTTTTCAAATATTAAACAAAAAATAAAACAACTTTGAATTAATAGAAAAGGGAAAGGGGGGGGGGGGGGTCCTCCAAAACACACACATACAAACAATTTAGGAAGGGGGGGGGTTCAAAAAAGGAACTATGCGTGACGTCAGCAATAAAAAAAAAAGCATAGTTCACTTTTTCTCTAGGGAAAAAAGGGACTATGTGTGACGTCAGCAATACAAAATGAACTATTCCGATGTAGTCGGCAGGAAACGTCTTTTGTAGTAAAAATATTCCTTTTTTTGTTGTTCACACTTCTAATGCAACAATCTTACGATAAGGGATATAATTATAAATATACACGTTTACTTCTAATTTTCCAGCTCCCATCATTCCCAGTGTATACATACGATGTACTCGGCCTCGCCTATTGTTATTACTAGGTGCTATGATGACGTCGTGCGATTTCACACTTACGTCCTTTAGTACCACCAATGCCTTAGTATGCATCTCTCTCGCAATTTCTGGTGAGTCTGTCGCCATTTTGTGGAATCCTTACCATTCAGCTTTCCCAATTATTAGTCACCACATGATAATGACATATCATTATTATCATCATAATTTATATTATTATTATTATTATCATCATCATTACTTGTATGATAACTATTAATATAATTTTATAGTTATTATTATTTATATCATAGCTTGTTGTCGTTCGCATTCTGAATCCTTTTTTTAAATAGTTATATCAAGATATACCCTTTCCAGCGAAAAAAAAAGAAGATATATACTTCCATTGACCAATTTGGCAATTGCTGTGGAAAATCATGCTTTTCAGGAAAGTAATTTCACATTGCTGTCTATGGATTTTATTCTCTTAAAAATTTGCAAGCCTATTCTTGGTGGTGAAACGCAGGGCATCTCGAAATCGGTTTTTGAAAATCTGTCAAGGGACGGGGGTGGGGGGGGGGGGGGGAAGGTTAAATGCCATTTTTTACCCGACACATTATGTTAGTGTGGAAGTTCATTTTGGCCAGAGCGCGCGTCTTTCTTTCACCCAAGTTTCATTCGTTTTGCACGCAGTTCTCGTTAACTCCTTTTAGGTCCCTTTTTTATTCCGATATTCCGATAAAACTTCGTAAGCCTAGACTTCAGCAATACATAGTGCTCACTGAATTTGTTTTCTTCCAAAATAAGTCAGCATGACCGTCTAGGCGCCATTTGTCCGTTTCAGGTGCATTTGCATAGCTTTCTTCTTGCCTTCCTACCTCCCCTTTGCTGAATGCTTCAGAATTATAACGAATTTTCTTGGATAGTCAAGAAGAAGTTCTATCGTTTGTGACGTAGCATACGGGCGTCAATGCACGCGTATCATTATAATACGATTGCAGTTCTAATAAAAACAATAATGATAGTAATAACATTTATTATGTTAGTAGTAGTATTATAATAATTACTATTATTATTATTATTATCATTTTCCATGACCACTGAAAAAAGACATTTAGTTGACGTCAATATATTTGTTTACACATTTTGATGGATGATGATGCTTTTTTCGAACTCTTGCTATTTTATAGTATTTAAAACTGGTTGCTTTTCTTTTTTCATCCTTAAATGCTCCAGGGATCGGTCAAAGCATTATGATGATGACATGCTTCATGATCCTAGACAGTCTTGCTGGCGCGAACTTCAACCTCTTATTTAGTCTATCAACATGCGGATGCGCTGTGGGTATCTGTCTATTTCCGTTATTAGCGGAGAGTCTCCTGGTAGCTTACGACTGGCGCGGTGTGCTTCTGATCATTGGGGGCCTCATGTTTAACATAGTCCCTTGTGTCATTGCCATTAGAATACCGGCGCAACGCCTTGCGTCAGGAGGTGACGTGGAATCATTGCACACACTTAGTTCAGGGACTTGTGCATCGGAATCGAAGGGAATAAAACGGAATTTCCCCTGCGATGGAGGTGGCGTCACCGGCGAGTATAAAGCTAAACACAATGAAACAGAAGACCCTAATCAAGAACTATTACTCACGCGTAGTTCCTCACGTCCGGGGCTCTCTAAACGGGGCTCTACCTACGAAGGAGTTGACGTCGTTTGCGAGAATGAAGCCGAAAACATCCCCGGTACAGACAAAAGCAGTGATAAGGAGCCGCTACTCAATGCTTGCGTGGGACAAGATTTTCCAGCCATACTTGCAAACGAGTCATCTTCTCTTGGGAAGCCCTCTTACAAGAACCGCCTGGAAAGTGTTGATGATGATGGTATACCGAGCAGGATGAAGGCATGGTTACGAAATACGGAGCTTTATGGAAATCCAGTTTCAATTTTCATTATCCTATCTTTTGCCATTCACGAAATCGTATACATCGGTTGGCATACTTTTCTCATTCCACATGCCCTCCAAAGGGGACTATCAATTAAACAAACCCTCATTCTGACCTTTAGTGCTGCCCTTGGCAACGTGTCTGGACGCATCCTTGTTGGAATCTTAACCCATAGACTCGTAGATCCTATCAGCCTATACCTAACTTTCACTATCTTGAACATCGCTGCATTGTTATGTGATATTTTCATTCCATTTTTCTACGTCATGTTGATTGCGTCATTATGTTCTGGTGCCTCGGTTGCAGGAAGAGCTACTCTGGGACCTTAAGCTGTAAAGAGCAGAGTGTCCCCGGCGAATCTTGCCATGGTTGTCGGGGTCATGGACGTATTTGGGGGATGTGGAGCTATAATCGGAGGTTACATGGCAGGTATGCTAATTTTCCCTTAAATTCAGTGAAACCTATATAAAGACCACTCAAGGGAGACAAGGCGAGCCTTTTCTTCATGGTTACCCGATATCTACCCTGACAATATTGCGCCGGGCTATTATAATAAAATAATGGTATTTCTGAAGCAAGATGTATTCATATACATGTTACTTCAGGCCTAGTACAGATATGACCAGAGGCAGCCCTCCCGGGGGGGGGGGGGGCAGGGGGGGGGGGCACAGTGCCCCCCACATTTTCAGATACCCCCAAAATGCCCCTTTTTACATAGGAAAAGTGCCCCTTTCATTTTGTAAGAAGTGCCCCTTTTACATAGGAAAGGTGCCCCTTTTACTTTGACAAGTGCCCCTATTACTTAGTAAAAGTGCCCCTTTCCCCTTTTCACCTCTGACGAGTGCCCTTTTTATTTTTGACAGGTGCCCCTTTTCCTTCGACATGTTCCCATTTTCCTTTGCAATAAATGTTCATTTTCCATTCTCATGAATCTTGAAATTATCTTGAATAAGTGCCCTTTTTAATCTCTAGTGAGTGCCTCTTTTCAGGTACGAGAAGTGCCCCTTTTCACTTTTAATAAGTGCCCCCTTCACCTCTGATGATTGCCCTATTCAAAACAGAGAGGTGCTCTTTTTACTTTGACAACTTCTCCTTTTTTCCTTTGTAAGAAGTGCCCCTTCTCCTTTTAATAACTACCCCTTTTTTAAACTCGGATGAGTGCACCTTTCATTTTAACATGTGCCCCTCTTATTTTCTAATAAGTGCCCCTTTTCCTTATGATAAGTGCCCCCATTAAAAGAGATAGCTCCTTCCCCTTCTCATAACTTCCCCTTTCCCTTTCTAATAAGTGCCCCTTTTCCTTATAAGTGCCCCCATTAAAAAGAGAGAGCTCCTTCCCCTTCTCATAAATTCCCCTTCCCCTTTTCATAACTGCCCCTTTTAAACATCTGAACGGTCCCCCCTTTTCATTCAACAAATGCACATTTTCCCTTATTATAAGTGCCCCTTTTACATTTTCATAAGTGCCCCTTTTCATATCTGGTCAGTGCCCCTTTGCAACTTAATAATTCCCCTTTTAATAATGATACGTGCCCCTTTTCCTTTCTAAAAAGGGACCTATCCCTTTTTCACCTCTTATAAATGACCCTATTAAAATCTGATGGGTGCCCCTTTCCCGTCAACAAATGCCTATTTCCCATTTTCGTAAACGCCTCCTTTTCATCACTGGTGAGTGCCTCTTTTCAAGTGAAAAAATGCCTCATTTTCACCTCTTATAATTATCCTTTGTACTTATACACGTGCTCCTTTTCTTTTCTAATAAGTGTCTTATCCCTTTCGATAATTGTCCCCTTTTCATGTAATCATTAAACGTGCCCCTTATTTAAAGCGACTAAGAGCAGTTTCCCCCAAAGTTCGCTCGCTGCGCTCGCTCGCATTTAAAGATTATAATAATAATAATAATAATAATATTGTAAACTTATAGAGCGCACACACCGTCCAGGGACGCTCATGGCGCTAGCTCAGCAACAGTTCTCTTGATACAAGTAAAGTAAATAATTTTGCAATATTTTTTGCGATATTTTGTTATAACCCATTTCAATCCTCAGCTCTGCCTGGTGGGGCCCGGTGCCTTCCAGCTGCTCCGTTCACTGACAATTTAAGGGACTAGCCCAGTCAGCACATTATTCACAGAAGCTCTAGCATCTGAGGCCAACAGGCCCCACACAGGCAGCCAATGAGACTAAAGGGTGATAACTAATTAATTTCAAATGTATATACAAATAACATATCAATTATGGATTTAGTAAAATAAACTTATACAACTTAAGGAAATACTGGGTGACAGATGGAATAGGTAAGTCTTAAGACGAGTTTTAAAGGCAGAGTATGTTGCAATACAGCGAAGTGATGAGGGAAGCTTATTCCATAATTTGGCTGCTGCATGCGAAAAAGCATGGTCTCCCCATGAATGACGGGTACGGGGAATTTGCAGCAAATTATCAGTTCCAGATCTTAAGGTACGAGTTGGATTGTAGGAGTGTAGTGAGTCTTTAATTTATTGTGGCGAGATTCCATGGAGAGCCCGATAGACAAGTAAAATAATTTTGAAGTGGACCCTTTTCTGGACAGGTAGCCAGTGAAGAGAGCGTAATATAGGCGTAATAGAAGACATTCTTGGTGTGAAAGCAAGGAGTCTTGCACTGGAATTTTGGAGGGATATATATTATATAATTATGTTACTTATCAAAGGTCTTTTCAGTTTTCCGTTATAAGAATGTGCTTATAATCCCATCACGATTGGCTTTTTTCCTCTTTATAAGATGTAATTTTCGCACTGCGACCTCACAGATCTTTAAAAATTTTCTCGCTCGCTTCGCTCGCTCGTAAATGCATATTCAGACATCACACCCAACTGTAAAGTTTGATGCTTAAGCGATATCTTGTATGATGTATGAAGATAAACAAATATTGAAATCATCCCTGAAAATGTAATCACAATGTAGGGGTATATACCAATGTCTAAAAAGTGTATATTTTCGCTTTGAGATTTCCCACTGTAGGTGCCCTTTTTTCCAGAAAGTGCCCTTTTTTGTTGGTGCCCCCCCCCCACTTTGAAAGTTGCTCGGCCGCCCCTGGATATGACGCAGCAAAACCACAGCGGTTTTTATCTTCATGATGACAAACAAGTTTAGTACGCTTCACATTTATTTATGGTATAACGCAAAAGTCAGTGAATATGCGCGCAGTTACCATTTATTTACACGTAAGAAAAGAACAAAGCAACACAAAACATGCGGCCTTTATTTTAATTTACGTTTTTGTCGGCGGTTTACCGACTGTATCTGCATAAGCCTCAGTGTTAACGAGAAATATATACAAATCCCGGAATACAGAAGAAAAAAAAACACTTTATAGTCAGGAGACTTTTCTATACAGATGGTCCTGAACCAGGTTTCAGTGTCGGGGACTGAATTGATTTGTTTAGTAGTCATTATTAGCTAGTTGGCAATATTCACTGGCAAGTAACAATTTATATTTGTTATGCATTAACTAGAATAACACAGTGAGTTAAACATTTTTGAGTGATAACCCATCTTCAGTCTTTTCGCTGCATGTAAGCTCAAATTATTTTTCTACCTTACTTTAAAATACCGTCCAGTTTGACACCAATTATCTAACTTAGCTTTAAAGAGATACCATCAACCTTGCAGTTATTCTTGGGATAATCCACTAACTTAACTTTACAAAGGAACTATAACTGATATCATATTCTTTGGAGCTGAATGCACTATAAGATTTCGGAATCTACCTCAAGTTAGTGGTTAGAATCTCTTTCGAGAATGAATTATTCTTAGTTCGAAAATGGATCTCTCTCCAAACGATCCTCAATATGACTTGAAAAACATGAAAAAGGTGGATTTGTTCTCTCGATTAACATTTTAGAATATTTGCTTCTGCAAACTCCATATTTTCTGATAAACATTATAATTTGTTATTATCTGTCTTTTGTTTTAATTGTTTTTTTGTTTATTTGTTTTGTTAACATACAGGATGGATCGCGGATTTATTTTCTTCATATGATGCGACGTATAATTTTATCGTTGCGGTTGATGTATTTACCTTCATTTCGATGGCAATACCCAAAGTAATGAAGAAACCAGATGTGTCATAGTGACTTCCATGATGGGTGCATAAGCTCGTTTTAAACGCCATGCGACACAAACGCGACTAAGGTCCTTGGGCAAGGCATTTTGGGCATTGCTCCTCTTCATCCAGGTAATAATAAAAAAGAACGATAGTATTTCCTTACACATGATGAATTAGTAATACAAATGAAGAACATGGTGGAGGTAAAGTAGGAGGAGGAGGAGGAGGAGGAGGAGGAGACGAAGAAGAACAATATGAAGAAGAAGTATGAGAAGAAAAGACTAAAGACCAGGAGTAATTTATTTGTTTAACATGTATTCTTAAAATCATAACACTGTCTAATTCACCTTACAAGTAATTTGATGTTTTCAAAATACTGAGCTTTCTGTTTACATAGATTAAATAGCTTCTTCAATTCCAAGAGTATCCATTTTAGGATAGAGACAGATAGAGACAGAGAGAGAAAGAAAAAGATAGCGGGAGGAGAAGGGTGGTGAGTGGGGTGTGCGTATGTGTGTGTGGAGGGGGGGGGGGGTGGGGCTCAAAGGGAAACCAAGTATAAATATAGATGAGTCGATTAAAGAGAAAGTACCTGACTCAGCAGGCAGGGAGATCGGCAATACTAAAGATAAGATAGAGGAGGAATATGAATGGACATAGTGAGAAGAAGTAAGATTTCAAAGACAATTCAGAATTTAGACGAATTTTATGAGCGAGGGAGAGAGGCAAGGACGAAAAGAGACACAGGGAGAAATCGAAAAAGGAAGTATACCCAACAAAAGAGAGAGAGAGAGAGAGACGCACTTAGAAAGATAGGGCGAGAGATAGATAGAGACAGAGAGAGAGAGAGAGAGAGAGAGAGAGAGCGAGAGAGAGATCGACAGATAAAGAGAGTGAAAGTGAGAGTGGATATATATATATATATATATATATATATATATATGTACCGTATGTAGTAAAAGAGGGGTTGAATTGAGGGTGCTACAATTTCTTATAAATATTATTCCTTTTATTCACTTCATGTACTTATTAATTTATTCATTCAAAAGAGTTCATGTTCAAGTTCAATTTATTCAATTCCAATTAAAGCATATACACAATACAAGTCACTCCTTTGTAATATATATTATTATTACTGTCTTGGCATCTTCGATGGCAACCAAAAACAAATATGGCGATAATGGATCCCCTTGCCTTACTCCCCTTTCTATTTCAAAATACCCCGTGGAGTGACCACCGTTCATAACACAACTACTTCTCCCTTTATACAATAATTTTACCCAAGAGCAAAATGAATCTCCAAAACCGAACAATTTCAATATTTGAAATAAATATCTATGAGATACAGAGTCGAAAGCTTTCTCAAAATCCACTGCACACAAAAACCCTTTCCCTTGTTCCCCATAATGCATAGAATAAAATAACATGTCATCTATCAATCGTACAGCTTCCCCAATATTTCTATCTTTTATATATCCAACTTGATCATGATGAATTATTTCATTTAAAACCTCTTTCATTCTTCTTGCTAGAACTTTAGATACAATTTTATAATCTACATTCAAAAGCGTGATGGGTCGATAATTTTTTATATGGAGAGTATCTTTCGCTTCCTTCTCAATTAAGGTAATTACCCCTTGTTTTTGAGATGCCGTTAATTCCCCCCTTTCGTATGTTTCATTCAATACTTCTACTAACAAATCACCCAAAGCTGGCCAAAAAGTATAATAAAATTCAACTGTTAACCATCATTTCCCGGGGTTTTATTCAATTTCATTTCTTTTAAAACTTTCAAGCATTCATCTTTAGTTAATTTACCTTCACAGATTTCCCTATTGTCTTCATTTAAATTTGAAATATCATTAAAAAGAAAGGGTCGTTTTGATTTATATCAGCCCTTAAAGAATATAAATCTTTATAAAATAGTTTAATTTCCTTTAAAATTTCCTCCTTTTCTTTGTACACCTCCCTAATTACACTTTTCCTTTTATTCGATTTTAACAACTGTTCAAAATATTGCGTATTGTTTTCTCCATCTTCAAACCAAGGTGCTCTTGATCTTATTTTAATGCCCTGTCGAGAAAAATCATACAATTTATTTAGTTTATCCCTTTTCTCCTCAATACAATCAACAATATATTTAGTGGGTCCCACTACCAGTTCGCCTTCTAAATCCTTGATTTGTTTCTCTAACAGTTCTATTTCAACCCTCCTTGCTTTTGCCTTTTTCCGCGAGTATGTTATAATAAATTCTCTCATTTTCATCTTTAAAAAATCCCAAAATACTAATTTATTCAAAATCTGTAATGACCATTCAGCTTTTAATTCCTGTATTTCCTTATTCATCTCTTCAACAAAATCTTTATCCATACATAAACTACTGTTAAATTTCCAATATGATTTCCCCAAAACAAACTTATCAACCAGATCATTAAATTCTAGCCTAACGCCAGAATGATCTGGCGTAATAGATGTCAAAATCTCACACGTACCCACCAATTTTTCAACACTACAAGGTATAAACCAATAATCTAAACGGCTTTGCACCACCGGCCAATTTTGTCGAAAAGTAAATTGCTTTACATTCGGATTTTTTTTCCTCCATATATCTTCTAAATCGTATTTATTTAAAAATTCCTTAATCAAATCAATAACCCGAGATTTCACCGGTGTTTTTGACCCCACATAATCTAATTTTCCATCCAATATACTATTGAAATCACCTCCTAATAAAACTAAATAGTCCCGATCACACTGATCAAAAATACTTTCATCTAACTTCTTCAAAAATTCAATTTGTAAAGTTTCTTTATCTCTCGTTGGAAAATAAACATTAACCAATAGCATTTTATCCCTTTGTATTTCACCTTTAAAAATAATGTATCTCCCCTCTTCATCTACTTTAATTTTTTTTTCTTCAAAATCTAAATGATTAGAAAATAAAATAAGAACCCCTCTACTATGGTTTGACCCATGACTAAAAAACATTGGCCCTCCCCAATCTTGTTTCCACCGCTCTTCTATCTCTACTGTACTATATGTTTCTTGTAAGAAAATTATACTATTCTTTTTAGTTTTGCACCATTCAAAAATATTCACTCTTTTTAACCTATCTCTTATTCCTCTAACATTTAATGTCATGAAAGATAATTTCACTGCCATGTTATTTTATGTGTAATTGTATCCAAAACCTTACATCGATAAACTCCAAAGAAACTTCCACATAATCTATTTCCACACACACACACACACACACGCACACGCACGCACACACACATATACAATCAGAAATGAAAATAGGAAAGTCATGCTCCATGCCCGTTATTTTTTATGTGTTGTGTGTGAGTGTATGTATCTTACACACACTCAGGTTTACGGCCGCCGCACACAGACCGCCCTCGATACAATACGTGGTTTTGCTTTTCGGTGAATGCGTACGTATCTCTACGGAGGTATTGCATTTGCAATGCCATTAGGCAATTTTCGTAATGTAACCAAATTGAATGCATACGTCTTTGTGAAGTGCCTCGATACAAAATATTTCATTCACCTGATAAGGATAATAGTATTTCAATAGACAGAATCCAAACTGCATACATTAGTTGTTGCCAGTTCGACAAACATTACAAACCAGGTTTGTAAATAACAAAAGGAGGTTTGGCGAAACAAAAGGAGGTTTGAGGTCAAACCTTGGTCTGAGCTCAAACCTTGCTTTGTGAATTCGGGCCTAGGGGTATTTCGCAAGCTCATTGCGGACAGAGAATCTGCGGTTCGTGTGCAAAATCGAGAAGCTACTATAGTAACAGCAGGGTGATCGCTGAGGTACTGAAATCCAGAACGGGTATTGGCCAAATCTACGGGCGTTCTCAATGACGCCCCAAGTGAATAAACAGCCAATCAGCGAGCTTGTACCAAAGATGGTGATGAGAATTTCGTCGTCTAATAACGAAGAATGACGAATTTTAATGGGCGGATCTAGCTTTTGAAAAATCGCGCCGACCAATATTTCGCTTAGTGGGGGGTAGGGAGCACTAAAATTTGTTTTCAATTTGAAAAAAAGTGGCAACCAATATTTCGGGGGTGGGGGGGGGGGGGGGGGTAGAAAGCACCTTGGCCAGCCTAAGGGGGGAATTAAACCTCCTAACCCCCCCCCCCCCCCCTAGATCCGCCCCTGACACGAATGACTTTTCGGTGAGTTTTTTTCTTCCGATTATTGTTTCTGAACAATAACAACATGAATATGGATATAACATGAATTGTTTTAAAACTTGATGATAAATTGTTGAAATTTGACAAAAAGCCGTTTTGTGGCTTGATCGAGACAAGTTGTGCTAGTCGTGTAGTCCCGTCTGTACTTAATTGCGTGGAAGGTAATAGACCATTTTCGTAATGTAATCAAATTTAATACATACGTCTTTGTGAAGTTCCTCAATACAAATTATTTCATTCACCTGTCTAGGATTCGCAATAGTCAGAATGCAAACTGCTTGTATTAAATGTGGCAACAACCAATGTATGCAGATTGGATTCTGTCTATTTAAAAACTATTGTTATTATCAGGTGAATGAAATAGTTTGTATCGCGGCACTTGATTCACTTGGGGCGTCATTGAGAACCCCCGTAGATTTGGCCAAAACCCGTTCTAGATTACAGAGCCTCAGCGGTCATCTAACTGTTACTATACTAACTTCTCGATTTTGTACACGAACCGCAGATTCTAATTCCACAATGAGTTTGCGAAAATTGCCTAATAGGGACTTTTAGATTGAGTGGACGAGAACACGACGAACGCCGACTGATCATGCGTGTCAACGTACTTAACTGCCCATGTTGACTACAATTAGAAATCTTTTAGATTGCACTCGACGATATACATGCATGCAAGAAGTAACACTATGAACATCACGGACAAAGAAAGAAGACACAATATACAGTTCCTCATTCTACCATCAACAAAAGAACCTCCCTTCACTGCTATTATGTAAAAATGTGTAGAACAGGTGAATAATATGCATGTGACACCTGTTCTACACATTTTTACATAATAGCAGGGAAGGAATGTTCCTTTAATTGTCTACCTGAGGAACTGTATATTTTATGCGCACGCGGCATAATAGTACCTTGAGCATGTAAAGGCGCTATATAAATATCAATATGTGTGTATGTACTAGATTTAGGTAAATCAAGGTTGACGCATTCTCGATCGCCGACTGAGACGACGTAACGCATGCGCAGTGCCTTAAAATGACGTCACACGTTGCAGTCAAAGCTGTCGACATGCAAATCTAAAAGTCCCTAATATCACCCCCGAGGACAACTGTACCCCCGTGGACAATCAGGATTCAATAGCAAAAGACGATCTGACACATTGAGAGATGGCTACGAGCCAATAAAATCCCCTGCATGAACCCATATTCTTTCAAATACTATAGCACGTTGTCTTTCTCATTACTACACATTTCCCTTTAATTATAATTTATGCAACGCCAGTGCGGTTGTAAGTTATTAGGCAATTGTCCAGCGCTTTTCAAAATGCATAGAAATACAGTTCTCTGGAGCAGCGTGTTTTTAATAATAATAATAATAATAATATGGATATTTATATAGCGCCGGTATCCGCCAGGCTCTGACGCTCATGGCGCTGTACATACATGTATTACTATCACAAAAATATAACATTCTTAACTAAAATAAAGTAAACTAAAACAACACAAATTATTACGCTATATTGACATGATTCAATAGCACTGTTTAGAAAGAGATGGGTTTTTAGAGCAACTTTTTGTTAGTCACGGTACCCTCTTAAGAAATTAAAAGTTTCTCCCAAATCCCAAAGTCTTTATAGACTAATAATTTTGCATGACTCTGGCTCTCGTCAAGTGCTATGCACACAGGTATAGGCACATTTAAGAATAAAAAGGAGAAGACATTTTCAAACTGGTAAAAAATTAGTTTGTAATCCACACACTAGAAACTGTTTAAAACTGTATGCGGGCACCTTGAAGCCGAATGAACATAAATAAAAAGTGATATATTCGGTCATGACCTTGATACACGAATATGAGGATATTCGGGCCTCTCGTTGCCCTTATTTGCCTTGCTGTAAAAATATTTTCAACGAGCTAGGAAGGAAGACACTTTAGTATCTTCAAAACTTTATTTTCTCATGTAATTACATATTTTAACCGTTTCTGGTACTTCACTTAAAAAAAAAAAAAAATCAACGTTTTCCAAATCATTGGCTTGCGGCGCCCCGGTTGAAAAACGCTGTGCTGGAGTTACAAAATCAAATGAGATGAATTACCAGAGAGCGGATATTTATTTTCTTTTGACAGCGTACATCGTACATATAACTTAAAGGCAATTCTATTTCAAAATAATTTAACGTACACGAAAACATAATTATTATACTTCGATCAGCATGACAACAGAAATAGATAGATGACGTGAAGAAAACCTTAATTATGGATCATGGCATGGATGAGGGCCCATTATACATACAAAGACAAATACATGATTAGCTGATTAAAAAAGTTACAGAGGATGCATAAAGGAACTTTTACATCCTAATTTCTTTGTTGTGCCATTGACGGTGAGAGAGGCTATAACGCGTACTCATCTGCGCGCAATGTATTGTTCAATTTCTAAGAAATGTAATGTCTGTTCTTTACTCGGTAGCACAACTACAGGGGAATTGGGCAACCTCCACCCCCATATCGAATTGAATAATTTAAAAAGACTGAAATAAACTTCATAAATAACTAAGAAAATGAAGTTAATGAAATTGTCTGTAAATAGCAATTTGGAGAGAAGCTTGCGTTATACGTCACAGTGTTATAAACTCCTCGGGGGAAATTGTCATTGGGGGTAGTTGTCCTCCGGGGTTTATTGTCCTCGAAGGGAGGGGGGAGTTGTCCTCGAAGGGAGGAGGCGTAGTTGTCCTCGGGGGTAGTTTTCCTGGGGGATAGTTGTCCTCGAGGGTTATAATAATCATAATAATAATAATAACGTTTTATTTACCCAGGGTAGCCACTTCGGTTATGAAACTGCTCTTCCAGCGGGCCCTGCATAACATAATATGTTATTACTACCCTTCTCCAATCTAATATGCTGAGCGCCTAGCTAAAAGGCAGAAGGTCCCATTGTTAAAAGTCTTTGGTATGACTCGGCCGGGGTTCGAACCCACGACCTCCCGTTCATGAGGCGGGCGCTCTTACCACTGAACCATCATGCCCAGTAGTTTCCATGGGGGTAGTTGTCCTCGGGGGGGGGGGGGGGGGTAATTCTCCGGGGGGGGGGGAGGGGAATTTTCCGGGGGGTAATCGTCCTACGGGGGTAGTTTTCCGGGGCGTAATTTTCCGGGGGGGGGGAGGGTAATTGCCCAGGGGGTAATGGTCCTGATACGCTTATATACTTATATATACTTGTAGGCATTATGATCCTGTCTAAATACATTTATATGATATTCCTTATTCCGATTCATCTCAGCATCAATTGCCGTTGACGAAGTAAATGATAATGTCATTTCATCAATATTTCTAAGTAAACTTCGTACATATAAATGTAATATGTTGCACGGAACCTATTCTTTACAAGATTTGCTTTTTATTTGGATTTGTCATATCTAACTATCAAATAAATACATTCGTCTTCTTGTCAGTTACAGCTGTTAAGGAACTCAATCAATTAATATATTTGTAACATGTATCTAATGTATTTTGTGTGATTATAATCAAAGAATTGTTTTATATTGTAATATTGGTATCATGTAAAATCTGGAAACAACAAACAATAAATAAAACTAATATCTTACAACCTGTTTGTTGTACTTATATCATACTTATTAAAGTGAGTATGAACGTTTATCAAAATGTTGATATTATTACTCAAAAAGCACTTGAACCAATTTCATATCATTGTAGTTAAATAATGCATTGCTTTCTGATAAAAAGAAAGACAAGTACGAACATAAAATCATACAGTTTGGACATTACCAATATACAAATTCATAAACAGGATTTTAATTTATTAAGTAATCTGTACCCACACGAGGAATGTTGTATCTGTATTCCCTTTTGGTTCGTTTTAAGAGGGTAACACGAACATACAAGAGCGTAACCCTTTACCACGATAAAAAGGAAACAAATTACTAAGAATGTAATTTGAAAATATATTAAGTAATGATAAGCATATTCAAATAGACAGTTCACGGATATTACAAAAACTAGTATACACTGTAAAGACCTATTTTTTATAATCATTATTACTTTTATAGCGTACCGACAATTGCGTTAAATGGCTGATCTGACTACCTCTAACTACTGAATTATCTAATTTCCATAGGCTTGACACAGGGACCAAACGGTTCCAGTAAGCAATGGGTTAATATAATCACATTATGTTCCCTATGTTCTTGCAGTGTACCATGCTATAGTTCTCCCATATGACTTCTCCGTTAAACTTTTTGAATACGTTCATTGATGCAGAATTGGCTCGCTCGATTAATACAAAGGCTGACTTGCACCCAAGTTTTTGTCCGAACTGTTTACAAACAGAGAGAGAGAGAGAGAGAGATAAAGATATATAGAGAGAAATAAAAAGCGGGATTATACTCACAGAACAGATATAAATGTTAACAAAAGGAATACTGATTGATTAGTGACTTGTTTTTAATTAAATTTTGACGTCAGGGCTAGAACTGGATGAATTTTTCGTTGTCAATGTCATTTCCTTCAATAGTTTTATCATTTGAATATTTTAACATTTGAATGAAGAACGTTTTACCAAATGCGATGGGGTAAACAGATTTACACGGCACAATACTTTACACTAAAAGCTGAAAATAGGAGAAATGGGGAAGGATTAAATGGGTACCGAAAAAGGGGGGGGGGGGGGGGGTGAGGAAACTTACTTAAGATTTCGTAATACAGCTTTATAATACTTGTGAACACCTAAATCGATAGATGAATGTTCTATTGTTGTTACTCCATTATTATAAAGTAGCATAAATATTTATCTAGATTTATAATACCATAGTGTAAATTAGAAAACGAATAATTAGTATGATTAAAGAAACATCCCAATCACTCCTGTATTTCATGGTCAATACAATTCCCTGCATATTGGTGTTCAATGTCCATGCTATATATGATACCGACCACGTCTAAGACGTAAACGTATCTGATTGCTACATTAATTTCCAAAATCTTCTAGTAAAAAAATCGGACTAAATGTGAAATAAAATGACCCTTTTTTAAGTAGTTGTATGCTCTTTATAACAAACTTGGTCATGTATGGTACTTAAAAGTTGTTTGTTATTTCCTAATTACCAAAGCATATCAATAATGATAAAATAGACAAAACAGTTTGTACTTACCTCCATCGCCGTCTCTACGAGTTTTGTGCCAACAGCCTTTTCTGTGATAACAGATGGAAAACAAAAAACAGATTTGATGTGGTCTCGGGGATAAATCACCGGAGTGAGGATCACGAGGTGTAAGGTTCAATAACGTTATCTGGCAAGACATTAATTTGCGTTAGCGACAGTTGACCCGGGGAAGTATAGATTGTATGATCTATTCCTTAAAGACAAACTTTAGTACTGGTAATGCGATTGCATTGTGAAAGAAAAGGTGTGGAAAGGATCAGAAACAGTTGATCATGTAGCATGTAAGTATTGATGTGCACTGCAAGGTTCTGGAGTTATCAAAATCATAATAAATTTGACCGAGTCTTGGTAAAGTAACAAGCACTGTACACAGAAAGCTATATATGGGACAACACACATGGTGTCGGGGCTAGTACTACCTTGATTTCCTTGTCTCTCTATGCTCATTACTCAGCCAGTATACATTTTCTTCCAAAATTGTTTTGCACATGTCATTTATTTGTAATCTTGAAGATTCAGTGTAAGTTTCGTTTGATTCTGTGAGAATTATTTTTTCTTTTACCAGAACTGGAGTTTATCTTTAAAAGCTTTGAGCGCCACGATCTTCCTAATTTCAAATCCGGGCAACGAGATTAATTTGAAGACACACGATTTAATTATGGGTATCAAAACTAACTAATCGGCAAACTAATTTTAGTTAAGAGCATTCCGATATGGGTTTATATCCACGTTCGATTTATCTTTAGAGGAAAATCAATCGATGATGTGCATGCGAAATGGTGAACTAACGATTTCAAATATCGTCATTGGATTTCGAGGTTCTTGCATTCAAATTAACACGATTGGCCTGAGGAGCTTGTTTTGGCGTTCAATTTCATTTCGGACAATTTAATCTATTGATTTCATTCGATTGAATTTACCACTAACTCAAACTATAATTGCAAAGAATTTTTTTTTTTTTCAGATCCGAAGTTTAAGAATGAACTCTGAAATCACTGAATCCATCTCTTTATCTGCATTCAAACGGAAATTTTTTATCCTAAATAATTATGGCATACAGGCAGAAGCCGACATGTTATGGTCCTTAAGTGCCAATAACGGATCTTTAATATGATTTATTTTTGACACCGAATGGCTAATAATATCTCAATCCCGTTATTTTAACATGACTGCATTATTGGTATTTTCCTCTTTTTTGTTGTTCTTGCAAAGGCGTACATATAATTCAATTATACAGATATCTCAAATTCAAGCAGGTAAATAGAATTCATTCAAATGACTTAAATTCGGTACATTATTATGATGAAAGTGACTCTAACATTGCCATTTTCTGTATACGAAATATGTTACCGTGACTGACGTTAACTGGTCTATAACTCTATTCTAAAAGTTCATTATACACTGCCTGTTCAAAACATCTGCTGGCACAGTTTTCGACGTACCTTGGGCAAGTTGGGGGAGTGATATCAAATATGACATTTCACATACCAAGAAGCTTGCAACACGATTGGCCTAAGTGATGTGACATGACAAACAATATATTGCATTTCTTGGCGGCCATAGTGATAGTCAAACATATATAATGGGCAATATATTATTCCCTAGCAGGAGAAAGAGAGTACAGGAGAAAGAGAACACATGAGAGAGAGATAGAGAGAGAGAGAGAGAGAGAACAGAAGAGAGAGAGAGAGAGAGAGAGAACAGGAGAGAAATATATAGAGAGAAGGGGAGAGATATAGGAGGGGGAATAATAAGGAGAAATGGGGAAAATAGTTTAGAAATCCTTTGAAAATAGTGGAATTTTATATTTGTAAGGTGTTTTATTTTCTCAATACCAGAGGCAATGGAATGGAATAGGATCGGTTACTTACTTCTGTGTTCATGCTTAACTGCGAGTCCTTGTATGTAGATCTGCTTGCCATGTAAGTAGTCAGTTATCACAGTGAACATAACACAGCCGACGATCGCTTTATCAATGGCATTAGTACCTCCCACCGTGGCATATTCCACTACAATCGGATACAGTGATCTATCGGAGCCAAAGCAGAGCTCCTTGAATTCTAAGAAACCAAAACAATATAAAAATGAAAAGACAACGAGAAAGAAGAGGGGAAAAAAGACGAAGAAGAAAAAGAAGGAGAAGAAGAAGGGAAAAGGGTAACGTTAAGAACAAAAAGAAGGAAAAGGAATAGAAGAAGAATAAAACCAAGAAGAAAAAGAAAAATAAGAGAAAGAAAAATAAGGAGAAGAAGAAGGGAAAAAGGTAACGTTAAGAAGAAAAAGAAGGAAAAAGAATAGAAGAGGAATAAAACCAAGAAGAACAAGAAAAATAAGAGAAAGAAAAATAAGGAGAAGAAGGGAAAAAGGTAACGTTAAGAAGAAAAAGAAGGAAAAAGAATAGAAGAGGAATAAAACCAAGAAGAAAAAGAAAAAGATGAAAAGAAGGAGAAGAAGGAGAAGGCGAGGAGAAGAAAGAAAAGGCGAGGAGAAGAAGGAGAGGAGGAGGAGGAGGAAGATGGGTAAGAAGAAGGAGGTGGAGGTTACATGTGGCCAACTCATTTGTTTATTTGGCGTCCCATTCTTTGCCTGGTATTGTGGAGTTTTAACATAAGCTTTAACTTCAAGTGTGTTTTAATGAGATCTTAACTGAATCAAACATAAACGCCTGGGTTTTACAGAATTGACAACAGACTTAACTCCGTTTCGTTGACAATCAGCCATGCATGAAGTCTTTCGTCTACGGCTGATTGTCAACGAAATGGAATTAAGTCTTTTGTCACTCTGTTTGTTGCTACGACAGGCACCCAATGAAAACGAATTCGTTTGATAAAATTATGGAAATGCAAGCACTACTTTAAACAAACAGAACTTTTTCATTCCTTGCTCATTTTTCCTGATTGAGGTGTCATATGAAAGGGAAGAAACTCAACTTTTTAGAAATGTGATTTTCTCCTAGAAATTCAGATACCGTCCGCCAAATGACTTTTCGGTTTCCTCTCTTCAAATTAATTTTAATCACTCATGCGTAAAATATGTATTATATGAGTTACATCAAATGAAAGAAGAGGATCTAAGCTTTCCAAATATGTGTCATTTATCATTTATAAATGTGATTAAGTTATGATAAAACATCGATCAATCTCGGTTTCGTTTTTTTTCTGGGACTCACTGTATACTATTGTGGTAGGATACGTGAAACAAAAAATAATAACCTGGACATGCCGATATAACATAGCGACATGAACAGACAAGTTTTAGATGTCCATGAGTGATATTATTTTTTCTCCGAGGCTACGGTTTCTATTCAAAATAAGTATATACAAAGTAAAGATAATTAAGTAATATTTACTGCCTTCTGGGCAATACGACATATCGCCCGAACCGAAGGTGAGGGTGATATATGACAAGTCGTATTGCCCTGAATTAGGCAGTCAATATTACTATTATTAACCACATCAGACACCTAAAGCAAACAAGAAACTCTTACTATCTTATACTCTTAAATTATGTAGGCTAGACAGGGTTTCCTAGCATTAGAAGTTGCAAAAACATTGTCAAACCAGCACTGTTCATTCAGTGTTTGACAGATTTTCGATACACTGCAAACAGTTTGCCTAGGGTGTGATTGTTACGTCACAATAGAGTTCGCGCAAAGTGCGCATTTTCTTATACACGATGCGCGATGTAAATTACAATAGCTGACGCGCGATGTAAATTACAACTGGCACTATATTATTGCTCACTAGTTTAACACGCATTTTGCCATTGACTTTTCTGAGCGGGCTAAAATATTTGTCCATTGGTTTACTGTATAACCTATATTGCCCGCCAAATTACACACAAATCCCATTGACTCTTCTGAGCGGGCTAAAATATTTGCGCATTGATTTACTGTATAACTTATATTGCCCGCCAAATTACACACAAAATCCCATTGACTTTTCTGAGCGGACTAACTTATTGTAATTTTGTTGACTTATCCATCAAACCTTGAGGGCAATAGCATTTAAAAATTGCCCTGCTCAGATGTCTGATACGGTTAATAATACTTGTTCTCACATTTTAACTTTATACACAGTTTCAAATATTGCTCTCCTATAAACTGATATTTTTGAGAATTATTCATGGTACCTGAAACCAAAGCAGCCTAAAGCACAGCCTAAATAATATGTTGCTTGTCAGAGCATTGTGAAGTTAGAAAAATATTAGAAAATTCCCGATGCCTTTTTTGGGAGGTCAAAAAATTTTGTGCCCCCTCTTTTTAAAATCCTGTATCCGCTCCTGGCTCAGACTAGATTCAGAACTTAATAATTACCAATCTTGGAAATCATAACCTGGTCCCATGTGTCGTCTTCCTGGCAAATATCTTCTACAAGAATTTGGTATATTGTCTCTACATCCAGTTTAGTTGCTTCTCGAAAAATGTAGCTCTCCATGATGATGACTGCATAATTTGTATAATGATAACAAAAATAATAAAAAATGAATTATTATCATTAATGATAATATTATTGACGATAATAATTCTTATGATAATGATAATCATAATTCAGTAATGATAATGAAATATATATATATATATATATATACAGTGCGTCCCAGAAAAAACGAAACCGAGAAGTATCGATGTTCTATCATAACTTAATCACAACCATAATTAATGAATAATACATATTTGGAAAGCTTAGAGTCTCCTCTTTGATGTGATGCTACTCTGATGATGCATATTTCACGCATGAGTGATTAAAAGCAATTTGAAGGAAGAAAACCAAAAAGACATTTGGCGGGCGGTATCTGAATTTCGAAGAAAAATTCACATTTCTAGAAAGTTGAGTTTCTGCCCTTTCATGACACCTCAATCAGGAAAAATGAGCGAGGAATGACAAAGTTCTGTTTGTTTGAAGTAGTGCTTGCATTTCCATAATTTTATTAAGCGAATTCGTTTTCACTGGCTGCCTGCCGTATCAATAAACGAAATTAACAAAAGACTTAACTCCGTTTCGTTGACAATCAGCCGTAGACGAGAGTCTTCATGCATGGCTGATTGTCAACGAAACGGAGTTAAGTCTTTTGTCAAATCTGCTTTTTGCTACGACAGGCACCCAGTGAAAACGAATTCGTTTGTTAAAATTATGAAAATGTAAGGGCTATTTTAAACAAACAGAACTTTGTTATTCCTCGCTCATTTTTCCTGATTGAGGTGTCATATGAAAGGGCAGAAACTCAACTTTCTAGAAATGTGAATTATTCTTCGAAATTCAGATACCGCCCGCCAAATGTCTTTTTGGTTTCCTTCTTTCAAATTGGTTTTAATCACTCATGCGTAAAATATGCATCATCCGAGTAGCATCAACTGAAAGAGGAGACTCTAAGCTTTCCAAATATGTATCATTCATTAATTATGGTTGTGATTAAGTTATGATAAAACATCGATACTTCTCGGTTTCGTTTTTTCTGGGACTCACTGTATATATATAAACAGTCACCTCTAAATGTTTTAGGAACACCTATTATCTGTTTTTTTTCATCAAACAATTAGTCGGTTGTTTTCACAGACTAAATTCATTTTCACCGACAATTTCATCATCACCGACTAATTTCCATTTTATGAAAATTTGTCGTTGGAAAACAGCGACTAATTTCTTAAAGACCACCGAATAATTTCAATAAATTTGTCGATGGTCTTGTACCTGCGACAAATTCAATTAACACCAAATAATAAGTCTTGACAACCAAAATGGCAGCACTCATGCACATCTTAGGGCGTGATGCCCACCGTAGAGAGCGTGTGTTCAGGGACAGAACCAATCCGATGAAGCTCTACGACGCCGACCCGTACCCCTCCCTCATACTCATAATCATATCATTCAGTGGCGGATCCAGGAATTTCTTACAAGGGGGGGGGCACAAACAAATTGCATGGGGTGAAATATATGAAAAACGACGGAGCGAAGGAATGGAGCGATTAAGCGGGGGTGGGTGAGGGTAGAGTCGGAAGCATTTGCAATTTGAGAACCACATTTGGCGCATTAATGTCAACCGGCACTTCCTGGAAAAAACGAGGCCTTCTGATTGGTTAGAAGTAAGAGCAACGTGATCTGTCACGTCGTGAGACGTTGTATATGCTTCGTTGCTGCACAATTCACAAAGACGGTTGTAGCGTATAACCAACCAATCGGACTGACTGCACTTCAATAAATAGCGACAATTTCAAGCATGATGCGATACCGTTCACAAAAGGCGATTCAACAACATTGGGCTTGTCTGGAAATACTAAATATTGTTCGCAATCAGAAAGATGACTTTTCCCAAAATTGAGAATCATGTGCAGCTAAATTACTACGCCCCCACTCGGCAGACTAAAAATTCAACCAAAAAAACATCGCTTCTGACGTCATAACTCGATCGTCAGGCGAAACAAAAACCGTCCTTTCAAAACAGAGATTGGTATCTTACAACGGTGGTCTGGTACTTCACCAACGGGTACTGGTACTTCACCAATAGTACTTGCACAAATGATCTCGAGTGTTAAACGGTGATGTTATCAGAGGCGTCGCTAAACTTTTTTTCAGTTGGGGGGTGTAGAAACCATTACCGGCAAACTATCCACCAATTATCGACAAATAGATTAATGCCAAATAGATTAATGCCAATGTCCAAATTTCTACAAATTTAACCTTAGAAATCCGGGGCCAGGAACTAAGTTATTTTTCAGTTTCCCCCCTCCCGCGCTTTGCGCGGAAGTTTTGACACTTCATTAAATTATCAAAGAAAGAAGACGATTCGTTGTACCATTCTCTACTCTTAATCCTTGTCTAAATTTAATTTCCCCTCTCCCACGCGAAGCTTTGACGTTTCATTAAATTATTACTCTTAGTCCTTGTCTGTAGCGAAGCATGGAAGCTTTCACGTTTCATTAAATTATTAGAGAAAGAAGGCGAATCGTTGAACCGTTCGCTACTCTTAATCCTTGTCTAAATTTAGTTGCCCCCCTCCCGCTCGAAGCGCGGAAGCTTTGACGTTCCTGGAATTATTACTCTTAATCCTTGTCTCAATTCAGTTTTGACGTTTCGCTAAATTATTAGAGAAAGAAGACAATTTGTTGTACCGACTCTTTATCATTATCTATAAAAAAAAATGTTTCTCTGTCCGATAGTCACAGTTCGTAGAGAGAAAAAAAAATTGTACCTACTGGCATAATACATATCACCGACTTCAAATTCCTGAATTGATATAGCACACGAGGATAGAGCAAGAATACCGACACAGCGGACCCGACACAGCTACATAATTATCTATGTGTATCTTTCTTGCCCCCTCGACGTGGTGACTTCACCCAATATCCCCCCTCTCTATTAATTCCACCTCTCCTTTCAAACTCTTACCCCCTCTCCCTCTCCTTTTTTCATTCCCCGTTTCTTTTGTTTCCTTTTTCTCTCCTTTTTTTCTATTTGTCCTTTTCTTTCTCTTCTTTCTTTTCCTTTCTTTCCTCTCCTACCTTTCTCCTTTTAAGCAGGCGCGTAGCAAGGGGGCAGTCGCCCCCCCCCAAAAAAAAATGCCGGCCCCCAAAAAAGAGAAAGGAGAAAGGAAGAGGACGTAGGAAGGAAAAGGATTAAGAGTCGAGAACGGTACAACGAATCGTCTTCTTTCTCTAATAATTTAACGAAACTTCAAGGCTTCCTCGCTTCGCGCGATTAGGTGTGTGTGTGTGTGGGGGGGGGGGGGGGGGTGGGGGTGGAGGAAATACATGTCAGACTAAACTAATATTCTAGAATAGACAATGGTATGTTATTTCCCCCACCTTAGCACACGTTCATAATAGAATTGCATGCTTCCATACATATGTACAATATATCATCACTGCCTTTGTCTTCCTTGTGATGCTACAGCATGTCGGACATAGCAACTTGTATGTTGCTATTGTATTACGTATTGTAACATGTGGTCGACTTCGGCAAAGATACTTTCCACTTTCTCAAGTTAGCTAATTGATGACTGACAGATGATGTCACGCCGCTAGGGTGCCAGGTAAAAATGTCAGAGGTAAAAATGTCAGAGGAAAAAATGTCAGAGGTAAAAATGTTAGAGGTAAAAATGTCAGAGGTAAAAATGTCAGAGGTAAAAATGTCAGAGGTAAAAATGTCAGAGGAAAAAATGTCAGAGGTAAAAATGTCAGAGGAAAAAATGTTAGAGGTAAAAATGTCAGAGGTAAAAATGTCAGAGGTAAAAATGTCAGAGGAAAAAATGTTAGAGGTAAAAATGTCAAAGGTAAAAATGTCAGAGGTAAAAATGTCAGAGGTAAAAATGTCAGAGGTAAAAATGTCAGAGGTAAAAATATCAGAGGTAAAAATGTACAAGCAAAAAAAAATGAGTGCCGTTTTAATATCTCAGCACTTTTATCACACAGAATGTCGAGACGTAGAGCTACTGCATGGGCTCGTCTATTATATTCCTTTCTTCAATAATGTAAATTGTATAAATGGCTGTTTGTTGTATTTCGTACATGTCCTGAGGATAATACAATGTGGAAAATAGATTTTGACATTTTTTTTTTTGTGATCAGGCTTGCATATAATTATATTATGTATGAATGTCTAACATTTTTTGATATTTTGAATTGGTTGATGTGTTAATGTTTGTGAAACGGACCGGTTTGGCCGGTGGCAGCCTACAACCTAGCCCGTGTAACGTCCCAGAGACGAACAAAGTCCAAACGAAGAAATGAAAGTTCTCGACAAAAGTCAAGTGTTAAAGTGAGTAGTGCATTTAGTACAAATAATTACATATAATCACGAGGAATCACGAAAACACGAAAAATTTTATCAAAATGATAAAAACTTTGGCCCAGTCTTGGTAAAGTCACAAGCACTGTACACAGAAAGATATTGATATGGGACTACACAAACATATGGCAAATCAAATCAGGCCTCATTTTAAAGCCGTTACTTGTCATACCTGGGATATGAAGTCATTTGAAATAGATTTTCAGGGAATAACTTTTTTCTTTGATGTTCTTCCACACTTGCATAACAAGAATGATAACAAACGCTCACAAATTATTGTTCACCTTTCCCCAGAACTCAACCTTCTCTTTAATGGATGTAACATGGTCGGCTTTCTGCTTTTTATCGGAGTAACAAAGCTGCTTATTGATTTTCTCCCAGACTATTTTATACCGCAATAGTAGCGATCATCAGACAACATATAGCATTCTTCAAAGTACATGATTCCTCTGCAACCTTGGTACAAATACACTCAAAATAAGACTTAACTAATACAATACCTGAATAAAATATAATAAGAATTACTCATGAGTAATTCTAATTGTATTTTATTAGTTAAGTCTTATTTTAGGGGTATTTGTACCAAGGTTGTATAAGATAATCATGTACTTTTAAGAATGCTATCAATAATTGCCTGATGATGAAACTCGGAACAGAAACCATGTCCCATTAGTCTGCCTGCTCTGCCTAGGCATTGACCACTGTTCAGAAGGATATATAGCAAAGCATAATATAAGAGGAAGGGGAGAGCAGCCGGGTCACCGTGCCCCAGAAGAAGAATACCCCCCCCCCCTCGTCTTCCTTCGGCAATAATCGGGCAAAAAGTCACAATTTGGGACCGAAAGGTAAATAAATTTTAACTGGGAAAGTAGAAAATAAAGCAGCGGTGAAATAACGACTGCAGAATATCCCTCGCTGTTCTTTTTCGATAAGCCTAATATATGGCCCGGGTGTAACCGTAACAAACTTGCCACATGATTTTGTTTTTATTTTATACCTCTAACATTTATACCTCTGACATTTTTACCTCTGACATTTTTACCTCTGACATTTTTACCTCTGACATTTTTACCTCTGACATTTTTTCCTCTGACATTTTTACCTCTGACATTTTTACCTCTGACATTTTTACCTCTGACATTTTTTCCTCTGACATTTTTACCTCTGACATTTTTACCTCTGACATTTTTACCTCTGACATTTTTTCCTCTGACATTTTTTCCTCTGACATTTTTACCTCTGACATTTTTACCTCTGACATTTTTACCTCTGACATTTTTTACTCTGACATTTTTTCCTCTGACATTTTTACCTCTGACATTTTTACACCGAGCCAAGGCTAGGGGAATGAGATTAAAAGTTTTGGGGGATAGAGCTTTAATATAGGATTTCCCGGCCAAATTCGCGAGTTTGTCATTCAAATTAATTTGTCTTGCGTTCAAATTCGACGGTTTTAGTGCAGTCAGGTATATCTCGGGTTTATATTTCTTTTTCTAGTTTTCAAATCTATGGAGTTTTCATTAGAATCTACGTATGTTTCATTCAAATTAATGAACAATAAGCTTCTTTCGCTATTTGGTCATTCGATTTGGCGCAACACGATTTTCTGACAACGCGACGGTGTACTTTTAGCATTCTAATTCATTTGCAGTATTCAAATTAGCACATTTCTCGTTTATTACACACTTTTTATAGCCCATTCTTTTTCTTTCAAGATTGTTTTTCATGTGTATTTTATATTTTATTTTCTTTCATTTATACACTTATACTGATAAGATTTATCTGATATTCATGAGCATTTAAGTTAGATTGTTAAGAAGAAAAAAAAAACGACTTGCATCTACGGACCTGATAGTCTCAATATATTTGTAAATGTTCATGTAAGGAAGTTGTTCGTCTTATGTTTCATCATAAACTTATCATAATTTCATCATAATTTCATTATGGAAGAAGGGTACAATATTGTGACTGGGGTAGGGACTAGAGTCAACAATTTGAACATGATTCATTATTTAGCCAAGTCTTTAGCCATCGATCTGCTGGCGGGCAAGTAAACTTTGAAACTCTTTAAGAAAAACAGAGGGGTGTGCTGGGTATAAGAGACGATGTGAATTACTTTTGTAAAATTCCGAGTCTGTAGTAAAAAGGGGCGATTGAGGGTAGCCCCACCTTTCCCGGGTATATGAACATGTCCGTGCAGAAATGCCATATCCCTTAATTTCGCCCCTTCTTTACTTTATGTCTGACTACACCCATCTGCATTGTCCTAAAAATGAATAAATGAAATAACAGCTTAGACTCCAATGGCAAATCATGTATTTTAATTTCATTATTTAAAAACTGTACAAGTTTGTTGCAATTCTTCCCCCTAACATTCATAACTTGAATACAAATATTACGAATACGAATGACAGGTGCTAATTTGAATGATAACAATAACGCTTCGACAAGTGAATATTAATTTGAATGCTAGTTGAGCAGTTTCTAAATTGAATGACAGATCTATGAAACCCTTCGACCAAAATCCTAAATTAAATACAAAAACTGGAAAATTTAATGATAATTGGCATGGCAAAGCTGATCTGCGCTAACTTAAATGCAAAGTAAATGAATTCTAAAGACAAACACGCGAATTTGGCCGGAAAATCCTATAGCAAGTTTGAAGAAAAAAATATTTCAACAAATATTTAAAAATCTATGAAACAAATTCAGAAGTTTACATATCAAAATATGAGATGTATGCAGGACTGCACACCAACAGGAATACGCTTGTATTTCGATGTCATGGGCCCTTTAAGTGTTGAGCGATGTTTTAAAGCCTGTCTTATGTCTTATTTTCAAGGAAAAAATGGTTGGGAAAATTCAAAAATGGTCGGGAGAATTTACAGTTAATCGCTGTGAGAGGGTGTTGCACAGTGACGCCTTCAAAGAAAACGATAAATATCTTGGTGGTTTGAGAAGTAGTCAATACCAATAGTAGAGTAGTAGGTGGTGTAGAAGTGGAATTAATAGTAGAAGTAATAGTATTTGTAGTAGTAGTCATAGTAAATGTAGTAGTAGTTAGAAGTAGTAGTATCAGTATTAGTATTAGTAGTAGTAGTAGTTGTAGTAGTAGTAGTAGTAGTTGTCTAATTAGTAATCATAATAGCAAATAGGGTAGGCACCTAGTCGACATTGTTATTGTCATCATTACTCAGTAGATCAACCAGTCTTAGTACATTTTGTAGTTTTCCATTCTTGACATTAAATTGCATTAAGCTTGTAGTTGTAGAAGATCGTGTTGAAAGACAACAGTGAATAATTGATTATTCAAACAAATATATTTAGGTGCACTGGCATAGATCTATTCCTAAGACCATATGAATTTTACATGCAATAAAGAGTGTACGTGTTGGCGATAATAATCTCTAATTTGTATCACTTGAATATGTCTTGTTTTGATGACACTTTTGCAATGACTTCCAGCTAATCAACTTACAGCCAATTCACTAGGATTTTGTCTGCTTCTGACATAAGCCGAACATACTTTCTATAATCCATGCCGTATTAAAATTGCGCTTGAACCTATATGTTTTTTTTCTCGGAATTGTTTTTGTTTTCATTTTGGGGTATTTCAGTCATCATTTTTCGACCCATATTCTTTTGGAAGAAAGTAAACTAACATGCATATATATATATATATGTATGTTTTTTTTTTTTTTTTACAAACATTGTGATATCATGATAAATTAAGGTTGCCTAGGAAAATTGAATACCTTTTTTGCTTTCTTGCTCAATAACTGTATAGACAAATCATTTGAATAATTGGCCAGCATGATTAAGCCAGGCACTTTAATGAAGAGAGTCCGAATTCAGACAGTTGAAGTAAATCTATGCGAGTTTTACTCTAAAACTCCGAAATGAACGGATCCATATTTGACTACCCCCCCCCTTCTAGAACAAAATCAACAACGAAAAAACAGAAATAAACAAACAACTCGAGCAAAAAATAAAAGTAAAGAAATAGGAAAGAAAAAGAGACGTTCCTTTACATCAAATCTTCATAACAATCCAAATCGAAAACTCAAACAAACGTTAGATCGAAAGTTTTAGTACGTACGGTTGGCCCGTACTAAGCTTATTGGTATAGGAATACTGTTTAATTGATACGCTTACCTTATATTCTGATGTGAGTGTACACTGTTACACACAAGCAAGACAAAACGATCATAGTCAACGCCAATGTCAAATGTTGGCACGAGTCAACGTTGTCTTCTCCGCATAAGCATCACGCCTTTCCAAACAGCGCAGCCAGGCAGAAATAATCTTTTTAGATTGGTCAGATCAGCCTTAACTCTTAAGCTGCCACCCATACAATGCACCCAATGCCACAGTGCTAATCCCTATCGTGCCAGCCACAAATCTCCTGTGTGCCAAGTTAATTTTAGGGTTGGTTCAAGTGCGTGTTATTTAAATCTTTACAAAAAATAAATCACTGAATTACTCGAGAAAATCCAATCTGACTGTTGTATACAAAGACGCGTAATCCAAAGCCGATGATCTGATGCTTTCAATTAGCGCTGCAAAAGCACTCAGCACGGTGCAATGGGCATGAACAATGACTGTTATTACATAACTACACCCATATGCATTGTCCTCAAAATTAATAAATGGAATAACAGAAAAGACCCTAATGGCAAATCATGCATTTAATTGCATTTTTTAAAACTGTAAACGTGTGTTGCATTTCTTCTCCCTAACATTCCTAACTTGAATAAACATAATTCGAATACGAATGACAGGTGTTAATTTGAATGATAAACATGGCCCCTCGACAAGTGACGATTAATTTGAATGCTAGTTGAGCAGTTTCTAAATTAAATGACAGATCTATGAAACCCTTCGACCAAGATCCTAATTTAAATACAAAAACGGGAAAATTGAATGATAATTGGCATGGCAAAGCCGATCTGCGCTAACTTAAATGCAAAGTAAATGAATTCGAATGACAAACTCGCGAATTTGGCCGGGAAATCCTATATTAAATAAAACATTTAACAATAAATTTGTTATTCCATTTTCTACAATTCTTACATTTTGTGTTTAATATTTATATCATTTTCTTTTTGTTCAAGTTGGTATGTTCTGTCTTTTTGCGGCGGTTTGACCTGTAGTCGAAAAACTCGAGTCGCTATCTGCCGATAATTAGAGAGAGAGAGAGGGGGGGGGGGGGGAGAAGTAGTCGAGCTTTTCCACAAGGCCGTCGAAAAATATTAATCGAAAGTCTTCAAAACTCTTAACAGCCTCTAGTTTTCGACGATCATAAATGCATAGTTTGCCATATTGTCTACTAGATAATTGAATACATCAAAGATCCCAAAGCCAGGAATATCGTCAAATTTAAGGGAGGTATGTAACCAGGCGCGTACGCAGGGGGGGGGGGGGGGGGGTGGGTCGAACCCCCCTCAAATTTTGTTTATGTGTATGTTTTTGAGGATCCCCCTTAATTAAAAAATAAATAAATAAAGAAAGAAATCGTGTTGATGGGTGACCCCCAAAAGGTGACCGTACCCCCCCCCACAACGGAACGATCGGTCAATTTTTCAAATTTCCGGGATAAAAAAGTGCTCTTAAACATTTAAATAATTATAGGTACACGTCTATTATGTCACGTGTTTATCGTACATTTTGTACCAAATGTAAAACAAAACCAAAAATACGAACAAGAAGGAAAATGGGAATATGTACCTAAATACAAGTTTTATTCAAAGTAAGGAAGAGAGAAGGAAAAGATGTAGAGAATAAAGAAGAAAGAAAAAGAGCAGGAAAGATGGAAAGATGAAGAAAAAGAGGAAGAAAGAGAGGAATAATGGACCTCATTTTGTAGCTGAGGAGTTCAAATGATTTGCCCAGAATTTGAACATTTGACATCGTCACCATACTATCCCCAGAGCAATGGTAAGGAAAGCAGCGTGAAGGTGGCGAGAACAGTACTGAAAAAGGCAAAGACAGCAGGAACTGACCCTTACATATGCATACTAGCCTATTAGTGGGGGCTGTTAGGGCTAAATAGGGGTTGTTTGGTGCAGATTCTTCTAAAAGCACCACATTTGGCCCAGAGGTAGATTGTACCATACGTTTACGATTTCTGCCGGACGCCAAGAAGGGCGCCCTCTGGGTGGTGCCATATTGGGAAAATCCAAAATGGCCGCCATCTGAGGTCAAGCGTAGTTCCAAAAGGAAAAGCGCTTGTATGATAATAGTTTATAAAATTATATTGATAGGGTTTTGGGGGTCAGATAATCTGATTATAATGTTCTTTCATTGAGGTCTCCTTGGGGCTGCCATACTGGTCATATTGGTCAAATCCAAAGTGGCCGCCATCTGAGTTACAGGTCCAGTGTAGTTATGAAAGGAAATAGGCTAGCATGATAAAAGTTTATATATTTATTGGGGTTTTCGGGGTCAGAGAAACTGATTATGATGTTCTTTTATCAATTTTATGTCACCATCCTGTCCTAAGGCTACAATGAAGTCCATTTCCTGGTTAAAGAAGATGAGGGAAGATGCGCCAAATTCACACTTGAGTGGGTATAAATCTTGGCCTGCGCCCATATGTTTCATCATTAACTTTCCTCTGTGAAATGCATAATAAATTCGTTTTCGAGAGTTGTCAAGGAAAATAGATAAACAGTTGAAACAGACCATGACTAAAGAAATAAACAGCTTATTCGATTTGTTTTGAAGCATTATATTCAAAGACCCGGACAGCTTATCTTTATTATCCATATATAACGTCTATAATCTTTTGCTCTTGCCCCTCTCCAATCGATGATGTTAAGGCTCTCTAAGTTATATAGCGAGAAGCCATCGTTTTGTCAAGCATTTGTCACTCAGTACACCAAAGTGAGGAGGGCATTTCTTTATTAAAAATAATATCTAAGCGATGGGCATTCCCTCAAATTGGTTTACTTCTTTACCAAATGGAAAGAGGTTCATTTAGCTTTGCAAGCACCATTTAGGGACACGCTGTTAGTTAATCATGTAGCTTTAAAGGTTTATACACGAACAACTTTATTTTTCGTTTCGTATCTGAGAACCGCATCAAACGTCAAAATAATTTCCATCCATAATTGCGGTATAAGTCTTGCACAACATGGAAACCAACTTCTCGAATACGACAAATGGAGGGCAGGTTGAATATGGAAATCAAACGATTATCGCTATTACAAATGCAATATATATTGTGATGGGTCTATTGGGCGTGTTCGGCAATGCACTCGTTCTCCTCGTTATCGTGGTCGTTCGTGATCTTCACGATGTCACCAATGTCCTGATCGGCAATCAATCTTTGATTGATCTATTGACGTCTCTTCTTCTCCTAGCCAGCTTTGTCGCACCTCTACCACCTCTACCAACCAATAACCCAGCACTTGCCCGGTTTATTTGTGCATTTTGGCACTCCAAGTTTCCTTTCTGGTTACTGATCGTTGCTAGTTCGCTCAATCTAACGTTAATGACACTGGAGCGTTACTACGCCATCGTATTTCCACTTCATTACCACAGTCGAACCAAGTCAGCAAGGTTCATATGCCTTGTCGCTCTACCCTGGTTGTCTGGATTCGCCTGTCAGCAAAGTCTCATGTGGTTCACGAGGGTGGAAGAAGATCAATGCATGCTGTTCCGGTTCCCGAACAATGCGACAAGAATTGGTTTCGCTTTCGGCGCCGCGTTTCTGGAGCTAGTCCTGCCGCTCGCAGTCATGGTATTCTTGTACACCTCCATATTCATCAAGCTGAAGTCAACGGTGGAGGAAAAAAGAGGACCAGAGAGAACCGAGACTCGGAAAAATCCGTTTCGCAAACCCGTAAAACTCGACGCGTCGACCACCGAAGCCGTGCCCGAAGAAATGTTCTAAAAGTTACGGTGACAGTGTCTGTTTTCTTTATTATTTGATGGGTACCGAACCAGATGTTATATTTGGCTTATAGTTTCGGGTATCCTTTAGATTTCAAAGGCTTGACCTACATGTTGTCTGTGTTGATTGCTTTCGGGAATATATGTGGGTCAATCCCTTATACATTCTTTTCAATATCGAAGATTTCAGAAAGGTTTAAGGAAGGTATTTTGTCGATGGACAAAAGCCACCTAGTCCAAGAAAACAACTGGGGTTTCAAATACAGTTTCTGCAACGGTTTGACATTAATATGTTGATGCTCGATCATTATTTAATGTCACACCCAGTCACACCAGCGAGATTGACACCAAAGCCACCAATCAAACAACTGTATTACCCCTAATGGCAACAAGTCCGTCGCTTTGTGTTGGTGTGGACTGGGTTTGGCGTTAATGAGGTATAATGATGAATCGTGGAGTGTATTTTCCAGTATATAGCGAACAAATGCGAATATAACATGAGTTGAATTTTAATTAGACATATTTACTTTTGGTTTGATTAAAACTTGTCGGGTTTGAGGAATCAATGTAGGACTGCACTAGTACTTGGTAACCTGTATTTTAAACTTGTATATACCAGCGTGAATTCACAATTTAAAAAATATATTTAATGTGCAAATTCAGTATGGAAATTGGTACCCTAACACAAATCTATCCTACTCGCTATGACATATTTTCCGCCTTTTTATTTGCGATTAAATGTAATCCTTATCTCTAGAAACTGAATTGATGCATGGATCGTGTTTTAATGATGTTGAGGGGCCATTTAAGAATGCCAATAACCAAGTGAACCAAGTGCTTTGTATTATGTTGATGAAGTGTAATTCACGTTTAAAAAAAAGTGAAATCTGTTTAATAATGTGTTGCTGTGGAGTTGTGTTAATAATGTGTTGCGTTGAAGTTTGATGTAAGTTATTGCAAATTAGCGCATGTTATAAAAATACTCTGCAACATTTCACTTATGACTTAATACAAATTCCACGCTTACAAAAATCATTGGAAATTGGGCAGGGTTTAACAGTATTCATTTTATGTCCTACGTCTTTATCTTCTTTTCTTTTCTTTTTTTAAATATTTTTTTTATAGTTTATAGTCTACCTTAATTGCTGATACCTCCTCAATATATATACGATAGACTATCATTAATTCTGCTGCATTACCATATAGCTTACTTAGAGGTTACTGCAGATCAAATCCATTGATTCATAATATATTATAATCAGTTATTCATTTTTTTTTTTATTTTATTTATTTATTTTTTTTTTTTTTAAATTTAAATTAGTTTGATATCGTAAGGTTATTCGATCTGCCCTTAATCTCCTTAATATTCTTGCACTTATTTCGAGAAAAAAATCTTTGTTTCTCTACTATAATCAGTGTTTTTATCACAGCACTGAATAGATATAATCAATAAAGTAAGGTAATATTTTGTTGGTTCAATTAGTACTCTTGTCATAAGAGTAATTGTAACCGCCTCATTCTTTTGATAATTGTTAATTGGTTTTGCCATGCTTAGTTGTAACCACTGCCCTGTGGTTCAGGTTCTCTTTAGAATCTAACTAAGGCTAAGGGAGCAAACCCTAACAGAAAACCATGCCACCGTGACAGCATTGAGGGCGATTGACGATACGGAACTCCCGACATCCTTCGACCAGTCACTGCAGGGTCTAGTGGTTCACACCCGTCCTGGTTTGTCCTCGCCGGTGTGAAACTGCCACCAGTTCCCCGAGAGAGTGCCGGTAGTAACTTGCAAGAGCTACCGGTACTTATCCACCTTTGCAAGCAGCCTTCACTATGCGCAACAGTATGAAACTTCATACCGGTTCGGTCGTCTTCCGGGTTAACAAGGACCGCGCTGTTAGATCAGGACTTCCGTCGACAGTGCCAAGTATGCTAGGAAGTAAACAACAACAACAAAAAGATGACACCAGCGGAATTACTACAATGACGTTTGGACAGTGGAATGTCAGGACACTCCTCGATCGGGAAGGAACTGGCAGGCCAGAGAGAAGGACTGCCCTTGTAGCCATGGAGCTGGAGAAGTACAAAATTGACATTGCTGCTCTGAGTGAAACACGTTTCTCCGAGTCAGGTAGGCTCGATGACATGGGCTACACATTCTTCTGGAGCGGCAAGCCGGACGGGGTACGACGAGAGGCTGGAGTGGGATTCGCCATCAGAAAAGAGATCTTAGCGAAGCTCACAGAAATGCCTAAAGCGGTGAATGATAGAATTATGACAATGACAGTACCACTGATGAAGAAGGGAAATGCTACTCTCATCAGTGTATACGCACCAACCATGACGAGTCCGGATGAAACAAAGGAGAACTTCTACAATCAGCTTAGACGAACGTTGCGGGACACCCCCCGGACTGACAAGCTGATATTGATGGGAGACTTCAATGCCCGGGTAGGACGAGACTATGAGAAATGGCAGTCGGTGTTAGGCAGGCACGGAATCGGTAAATGCAACACCAATGGTGAGCTACTTCTAGCGCTGTGCTCTGAGTTCGAACTCCTACTGACAAACACCGTGTTCAAGCAGAGGGAAGAACACAAAACCACCTGGATGCACCCTCGCTCTAAGCATTGGCACCTGATTGATTACATCATAACAAGACAACGAGACAGAATGGATGTTCACAGCACAAGAACTATGCGTGGAGCTAACTGCTTGACCGATCACCAGCTACTAAGATCAAAGATTGCATTTGCTTTACGTTCAAAGCGTAGGAAGCAAGGAGCTACTAAACTTGCAAAGCTGAACACAGACCGGCTACACGTCAACACACAACGGCTAAAGCTAGAGCAAGATATGGAGAAAGCTCTGGCGACTTGGGGAGTGCAAGAGGGAATGACAGTTGATCAGACCTGGGCATCACTCAGCAAAGTAGTATATGACACAGCGAGCAACACCCTCGGTAAACCAGAGCGAAAACACCAGGACTGGTTTGACCCAGAAGACTCCGAGCTTCTGATACTCATGAAGAAAAGGAATGAAACACACCAACGTGTATTACAGACTAGAAGTACCAGGTCAACCACCACCGCGTACAAGGAAGCCTGCAGACACTTGCAGAGGTACACACGGAAAATGAAAACCACCTGGTGGGAGAAAAAGGCAGAGGACCTGCAGCGCTCCGCAGACAATAATGACATGAAGTCCTTCTACACTGGACTGAAAGAAGTCTGGGGCCCCCAGACTAGGAGTACAGTTCATCTCAAGTCCCTGGACGGTAACACAACCTTTTCAGACAACAAAAGGGTGCTTGAACGATGGTCGCAGCATTTTGAGACACTACTCAACCAGCCAGGAGATATCGAGCCTGCAGCGCGTGATAGGATCAACCAGCGACCTGTAGTTACTGCACTCGATGATATTCCAACACGAAAAGAGCTAAACCTGGCAATTGCCTCCTTGGGTGATGGCAAGGCACCCGGAGTGGATGGGATACCAAGCGAGATATGGAAGCACGGAGGAGCCACACTAACCAGCAGTTTACTAATGCTGATACAACAAGCATGGGCAGAAGGCTCCGTACCTCAGGATTGGAAGGATGCTAATATTGTCGCCATCTTCAAAAAAGGAGATAGAACTCAATGTGGAAACTACAGAGGAATATCGCTATTGTCAATAGCAGGGAAAGTTTTTGCCAGGATCCTTCTGAACAGATTGAATACCCACATAGCACCAGATATATTGCCGGAGACGCAATGCGGATTTAGGAACAACCGCAGCACAGTAGATATGATCTTCTGCCTCAGACAACTACAGGAGAAGTGCATTGAGCACAACCGATCCCTCTATGTGGTTTTTGTCGATTTCACGAAAGCCTTTGACACTGTTGGTAGGACAGGTCTTTGGGAACTACTACGAAAGTATGGATGTCCCGAGAAGTTCACCGGAATGGTAGAGTCCTTACATACGGGTATGATGGCTAAAGTCAAGGAAGCAGGCGAAACATCCCATAGCTTCCCTGTAAGTAACGGTGTAAAACAAGGATGTGTGTTGGCCCCTACGCTGTTCTCCATCTTTCTCTCGGCGATGCTGGAGGAGGCCTTTGCGGACTTTGAGGAAGGCGTTTACATACAATCACGTCAAGACGCCGACCTATTCAATGTCGCACACTTCAAAGCTAAGACGAAGTCTACACAGATTCTCGTGAGGGAACTCCTCTTTGCAGATGACAGTGCTCTTGTTTCTCATACACCAGAGCAGATGCAACATGTTATAGATGTATTTTCATCAGCATCAAAGAAGTTCGGTCTACAAATAAACATCAAAAAGACTGAAGTACTATTCCAACCAGGTACAGACCACCTAGAGGAGGAGGAGATCCTAGTGGATGGGACAGCCCTAAACCAGGTAGATGACTTCACTTACCTCGGCAGCACTATATCCAAAGACGGACGCATCGACTCTGAGCTGGTGAAAAGAATGTCAAAGGCCAGCAGTGCCTTTGGAAGACTGCGAACCAGGCTATGGAACAACCATCATGTCTCAACAAGAGTGAAGTGCAAAATCTACAGGACTATCGTCCTATCCACTCTCTTATACGGTGCGGAAAGCTGGACTCTCTACACAAGTCAAGTAAAGAAACTTCACGCGTTCATGATGAGACACCTTCGAGCAATCATGAGAATCAGTTGGAAGGACAAGGTGACCAACAAAGAGGTACTAGAGCGAGCAAACCTTCCTTCTATGGAGGACCTGCTCATCAGGAAGAACCTTCGATGGACAGGCCATGTCATCAGGATGCCCTCTGAGAGGTTACCAAAGCAAGTACTATTCTCGCAACTACCCGCTGGCGAAAGAGGGATTGGTCGTCCACGGCTTCGCTACAAGGACACGATCAAGAGGAACCTTAAGCGGAGGCAAATTGAAACCAAGACTTGGACAACTGCTGCAGGCCAGCGAGCTGTATGGAGAACAGCTGTAAAGTGAAAATGAAGGCGGTCA